CCCCGGGGGCGGGGGCTGGTGGGGCAGCCATGGGCGGACAGCCGGGGCAGGGGGGACTAGGGGAGCAGGCAAGGGATGGGGCCTGGCAGGCTCCCCCCCCATGGTCCCCTGCCCCCTCCCCCACTCCTACTTACCAGCTCCAAGTCTGACTACAGCTGCCTGTCTGAGTCTGACTGCATTGAAGCTCTCTGAATCTTTTCTGAAGATTCAGAGAGTTTTAAATCAATTTGGACCTTTTTGTTGGTCCTCTGATTTGATTTGGATTCAGAGATTCGGCCACAGAATTGGGCTGAATCTCCTCTGAGTCAAATCACCACCCAAAGCTTTCACACAGCCCTATTAAACAGTAGTTTTTCAACTCAAATTATTTGCAGTTTTGATGTGCCTCCTAAAAAGACTACTTGTGGTGTAAAGATAAATATATATAATTTACACCAAGAGGCTTCTTTTTCAGTATCTGTCAATGACAGTTCAACACAGCATTACTAAATTCTCAGAATGGTATTGCATTACTAGCATTAGTCTGACTTATAGCCTGACTCTTATTCATATCAATGCATTTTGAATCAAACTCTTAATAATGTTTTTCTTTTCTAAGGAAAATACAAGCTTTATTATGGTAGTGTTAGAGTGATATTATAGCTGTGATGGTCAAGGAAATATGCAAGAAGCAAGGATTTTTGTGGGTGTTATGTTTTATTGGACAGACTCCATGGTCAGTCTGAGCTCAGACTTGAAGAAAGGTGCCTTGTACCCAAAAGCTTCTCCAGACTGTTCCCAACTGAAGCATTATTAATTATTCAGATGTCATGTAGCCTGTTCATTTAGCCATATCAGCATGTTAAAACCTTCATTAGCCAGTGATAAGCATGCTACCTGAAAACAACAATCTTTTTTTATCACAGAGGTTAACCAAATGTTAGATCACATAGTTTTGCTAATGAAATGTTTGCTCACTTGAAAGTTTGTTTGACACTAGTAAACAAAAAGAGGAAAGGCCTTGTTCTTTTTGCATTATACACTGGATTTACCACCTCTGCAGTTCATTTTGTTTCCCTGTTTGCTCTGCTATCACACAAGGTGGTCTCTTTCTCCAGGCTTGCTCCTCATGCCAACCCACCTATGGTGCCTACCAAAAAGCAATTTAAGATTTTGAAAATGTTTAATTTAGTCTCCCTGGTTTCCCTTGAACAAAGTCTCAGAACCATGATGTCTATACAGAAACAGACAATAGTGTTGTAGCTTCTTTGTAACAGGAGTTCATAGCTAATGAAACTTTCTAAATCTTGTGTATCACTGGCTTTTCTGTATCTTTCAATGGATTTCTTTTGCTGAAGAAAAAGAAAGTACATTCCTAGGAGGAGGGTCAATGGTCAAGCAGCTAAAATGGCCCTTTTTATTTCTCTTCTCCCAGAAACAGAGGTATTTCTGAGATAATGCCTTGTATCAACATTTCCCTGTGTTCCATCCAATTCTGCATAATTTAGGCTTCGTATAAAAAGAGAGGTTTTAGCAAACCTTTAGAATTATACCTGATCAGTACCATTTTTCTCAATCTGGGGAAAGGCAAACCAAATCTGCTCTTAAAGGTGCAAATGGCCTCATTCATCTTTGAACCTGAATTCATCTTTGGACTAAAGGCAGGCACTGGAGGGCTGCCAACCCACCAACAGTTAGCGCTGACCTAGTGAAAGGATACTTGTAGGAGCTGGATGTGTTTAAGGCAGCTGGCCCAGATGATCTTCATCCAAGGGTGCTGAGAGAATTGGCCAGTGTCACAGCAGAACTACTGGAATGACTGTGTGAGCACTTGTGGCATTCAGGACAGGTCCCAGAAGACTGGAAAAGGGCCAATGTAGTCCCTATTTTCATGAAGGGAAGGAAGGAGGATCCAGGTAACTATAAGCCAGTTACTCTCATCTCTATCCTTAGGAAAACCCTTGAAAAATTATTAAGGATTATATTTGTGGGAGTACAGCAAGAAAAATAATGCTGAAGGGCAACCAACACAGGTTCATAGCAAGTATATTCTGCCTGACTAATCTTGCTTCCTTTTACAACCAGGTCACAAAATGCTAGGTGCAGGAGTCAAGGTTGATGTCATTTTAAAAAGGCCTTTGATACAGTGTCTCATCCCATTCTCATAAATAAACTAAACGGCTCTGACATAGATGATTACACAGTCAGGTGGGTGTCAAATTGGCTTAAGGGATGCAACCAGAGTGGTGGTGGACGTGTGGGTATCAACCTGGAAAGATGTGGGCAGTAGGGTCCCCCAAGGTTCAGTCCTTGGACGAGTGCTGTTCATTATCTTCATCAGTGACCTGGATGAGGGCTTGGAGAGCACTCTGTCCAAATTCATGGACAACACCAAATTATGGGGCAAAGTAAACACACTAGTGGGCAGGGAATGGATTCAGGCAGATTTGGACAGGTTGGAAAAGTGGGCAGAACAGATTAGGATGCCGCTTAACAAAGATAAGTGCAAAGTACTGCACCTAGGAAGAAAGAATTGCCAGCACACATACAAACTGGGAGATGACTTCCTAAACAGCATAGCAGCAGAAAGGGATCTTGGAGTCATAGTTGACTCCAAGATGAACATGAATCATCGCTGTGACGAAATGATCAGTAAAGCTAACTGCACTCTATCATGCAGTAGCAGGTGCATCATGAACAGGTCTAGGGAGGTAATACTTCCCCTCTATGTGGCATTGGTAAGGCCGCAGATGGAGTACTGCATTTAGTTTTGGGTGCTGCACTTCAAGACAGATGTGGATAACCTTGAGAGGGTCCAGAGGAGGGCTACTCGGATGGTTAGGAGCCTGCAGGTAAAGCACTATGAGGAGAGATTGAGGGACCTGGATCTCTTCAGCGTCTACAAGAGAAGGCTGAGAGGGGATCTAGTGGCCAGCTACAAATTCATCAAGGGGAGACAGCAAGGAATAGGAGATGCTCTGTTTACCAGGGCACCCCTTGGAGTAACTAGAAACAACAGCCACAAACTGACAGAGAGCAGATTTAGATTAGACATCGGGAAGAACTGGTTTACAATAAGGGTTACCAGAATCAGGGTCACCTGACCCCAGCGCTCTTTCTTGCCCAGGAAAGACTTAACTCTTTCACTGCTGATAATTCTAGCAGAAACATCAAACAAATCTGAGACTGAATTTAGGGCCATAGCCAAGATTTCCATTCAGTAATACCCCGTCTTCTGCTTACTTCATCTAATTTAATGCCTCTTGCACACTGTTGGTTTACATGGCCATAAGGACAAAACCCCAGTTGCTGCAGTAAATCTGGTAAAAACCAAGCCAATTACACAATTAGAAAAAAAAGCAGGTTGCCATGTAATTTTAGTCTGCTAGCAATAACCAGGCATGAGGCCAAAGGCTGAGCATGACAACCACCTCATAATTGCTAAGTTATTATATGGCTTTTAACCATTTATGATGCAACATACTCTAATTGCTCAGTTTTATATTACAGTGGGTGTGTCTACAGGAGATGCTACGTTGCCACAGTGATGAGCTACAGTAATATAGCTCATCACTACAGTGACATAGCATCGGCAGGCACGAACCATGACAATGCCGCTACTGCACGTAGCTCATTGCTACTGTGCAATAGGGTCAGTAATGACCCGTGCAGTGCTGAGGCTGCACAGTACCAGTGGTTATTATGCAGTCATTTAGCACTTGCTTTAGCAAGTACTAAATGATTGCACAGTAACAACTGCACAGTCAGGCACATATGTAGACACACCCAGTAGCACCTAGAGGTCTCAAGCATCGCATTAGCCACTTTTTACACACGTAATAAAAAGATGATCTCTTTCTCTTTGAGCCTCTGTTGCTTATGTTTAATTTCAGTGCCCTTCTTGTTTTTCCTCAAGGCAGGGAAAAGTATATTAGTGAATGTTTACATATTGATATAAATCCTTTGAAGGCAAGTACAAGTCAGTGTATGACATTCTTCCTATTATTTTATTGCCTCCCTTTGAATTCAGTTGCTAACTGCTGCATAATTGCTACATTTACCCTGAGCTTTTCCTTTGTCATTGCAGATAATGGTAGGAGAAGGAATTCTCTACTGTTGCCTGTCAAAAAGAAGAAATGGGATTGGAACGGAGGCCAATATTAATGCAGGAGGCTGCAACTTCAACTCTTTCCTTAGAAGAGCTGTCAGATTCGTTGGTGGGTTTCAGATCTTAATAACTTAAGGCACTTCTGTGAAACACTTATGATTTTAATCATGCAGTTTTTCATTTTTTTAATGGTCTCTAGAACAGTGGAGGGCAGATTGTTTCATGCCAAGAAGGGCAAAAAGCAGCTGTCAAGTGGGATTGAAAATTAAACATGTCCATTCAATAATGCAACACTTTTACTTTCAAGGATTCTCTTTCATCTACTGCATGATTATCAGTGCTGCTAAGTCAATAATTTTGTTTATTTTTCCTCAACACTAAAATCTGATATCAAAGTCCATTCATATGGTTAGCAGTATGGTGTTTCATTAAAATGTGCTATCTTTTCCCTTGGAAAAAAATCAAAGCAATCAGTGTAGTGTTTATAAGCAACACAACTTGTTAAAATTATCAGTGGATAAAAGTTGTTAACTTTTAACAACTTGTTAACAATATCAGTGGATTTGACATTCCATGTCTGAGATGTGGCCCCAAGCAAAATAAATAGAGGCTGCTAAATTTATTAGCAGAGAGGTAAATAGCCATGTTAGTCTGAAGTCAGGCAGAGGCAGGGGAGATTTGTACCTTTATAAACTAACTAAATCAGAGATGTATAGCATAAGCTTTCACAAAGGGCTTTCTGCATCAAATGCTGTCTGATGAAGCAAGCCCTCTGCTTATGAAATCTTACCTTATACATTTCTGATGTAGTTAATCTATAAAGCTGCAAAGCTACCCTCCCTTTGCTAAAATTATATCATGAAAGCCATTGATAACAAGGAACAAGGATCTTTTCTTTAAAAAGTATTACTGACCTTCACTGGATTTGACCTGTCAATTTAGGCTTTGAATGAGGTCCCATTGTCTATAAGGGGCTTGAGGCAAAGTATTCCATGTTCCAGAAACCTTGAGCGAGAGAATATGACATTGGCAAAAGAGATGCACAGGCAGCAGTTTATGAGCCAGAGAGGAAAGCTTCACGTTGGCTGGTGTTCAGGAGAATGCTGGGGTCAGTAAAGGGGAGGTTTTGGACCCACACACAGATACAGTAGCCAGAAATGCCTCCTATCAATGACCTGCGGGAACAGAGGCTATGGCAAAGACTTAACAACAGCCAAGCAAGGTAGTTAAGCTGCCTGATGCACTGCAGGATTCTACAGAATAGTGCCCCATTCCATCTGTACACAAACCAGGTTTTGGAAAAAATGCTTAGAAAGATAGCAAAAGGTGAGTTGGTTTTGTGATCTCTTTTATTGGACCAGCTGTATAAGGGGCTAGGCTGGAGGAAGGGTATTTGATGTTCAAAAGCTTGTCCAACAGCTCTCTCATACAGTTGATCCAATAAAAGATGTCACAAAAAACCCTTGCCTCTTGTACATTTTTGGACTATCATGGCTACAACAATACTCCAACCCTACAACAACATAAGTAATGTGTATTCTGAGCCACATTTGGTATCCTAAGGCCCCTAATGTTATTGACCAAAGATAAAGGGAAAATGGACAAAATGACTCAATTTTTAATGGGTAAAGGCTGAACAAGAGGGGCAGTTTAATCAAATTTAATTTTCTAGTGAACTGACAAGGAGTGACAAGATCCCAGTGACTCTAGAGATAAATCACTGGTTGGAAGATAGCCAATAACCACAATGACCAAAAGTCTTTACCCAATGACTAGTGTTTGCTGATATATACAACTAGAGCTAGTGCTCTTAGAACAGGTATTAATGGAAAGGTGTCCATATAACAAAAAACCCACCCCAACTTGCATTATTTGGCACTGCAGTTGGCCAGCCCAGTAAAAAGATCAAGGGCTTGAATATTCTCATCCTGCAGTAGGTGATCCACCCTGGGGTCACCTCAGGTTCAAATGGTTGGGCACTTCAGTTACCATTAATTTTCAGCTGGATAAGAATATCTATTTGTGGCTACTTTGTAGTATAAATGTATGAAGAGAGATAATAGACTATGAGGTTATCAAAGTTAAAGACAGTCCATTGAAAAGGAAAAACATCAATGTGCAATATATTTTCTGGAGTAAATTATCTCAATTTCTTTATCAGCATATGGGTATGATATTGTTTATTACAGTTAATCATAACTGAAGTTTATTAAGAGGAGAAGGAGCTCATGTATTTTTAAACATCATAACAAGGCTCAAGAAGTTATTTTGCTTTATCTTGCAGGTGTTCATGTGTTTGGCCTTTGTTCTACTGCTCTCATTACTGACATAATACAGCTATCAACAGGGTATCAGGCACCATATTTCCTGACCGTATGCAAGCCTAACTACACATCCCTAAATGTATCTTGCTCAGAAAACTCATACATTGTGGAAGATATTTGCTCAGGATCTGATACTACAATCATCAACGATGGAAGGTTAGTTTTATTCTTCATTGTGTATTAATGTTCCCTTACAATCAACTTTTTTTTTTTTTTTTTTTTTTTTTTAAGATAAACATTTTTAATTTTCTACACCACCTGCAGCACTTAATCTATTACTACATCTACTCTTGAGTGACTGTTGCCAGGTTTATAACAAAGTTCAGGGCATAAGCTGCTCTTTGCATATGTTCAGTATGTGTAATAACTTTTTTAGCCTAATGGAAGCTTCGGAGATCATTCCTAAGACTTAGGGGTCCAACACTGAGAGTAGCAGTGTTTCTTTCTTTGAAGTAGGTACAGTGTCTACTTCAGTTACAAACGGGACTTGCTTCTGCTGCTACTTTTGACACTACCAGAAGTACTATCTGCTCTGCATTGGAAAATCTTGCCTACATATACATATTACCTAAGGTCCCCTTATATTTTATGTTTTGTAACCGTATAAGTGTAATCAAGCATAACAGTCACAAAAAAGTAGTAAACTTGTAGTAGTAATATGTGTTGAGACAGATGTCCTTTTATTACAGAAAAGATCACGACATGTTGTGGTTTGTGGCGGACTACGTAGAGCCACCCACATCACTGTGCCAGGCCCAAAACCACGCTTCAGGAGTCTCCCCTGGGAAGTCTACATATGGCTGTCCCCCTTTTTGGAGAACACCCACAGGCCTGGGGTATCGCTGCCATCACCTGGGCACTGGTATCTGTTAGGGCTATGTACAGAGAACACAGAACCTGAAAGCCTTGGGGGCGCTTTGCCCACTGGTAAAGTTTCTGGGTGATTCTTTTAACACAAAACCTCCCAGGGTAATCTCAGGTATGACTGAGTTTGGCAATAAGCAGCCAAGCTTTGCTAGGAGTGAAAAAGCATCTGTCCTCTCTCCCCTCAGGCATTCACAGAGAAAATAGCCAGTCATGCTATTACCGATACTTTTATTGTTCAGGGAGAAGAGGAAGGGGGGGCAGGTACACAAAGGAATTTGAGATAAAAACACCTTGAGCAAGTTCTAATAAATTGAGTCTTACAAATATGGGCTCGGTGACCCTTTTTAATATGTGACTGAAATACTTAGTTCTAATTTACTACCGAATTTACAGGTTTACTCACTGATTCATCCAGACAGCAGCCTAGAGGTACTCTTCTTGTATGTCATTTCCAAAATGCCCACTGGAGAAAGAGAGCAAGCTCCCCCTCACTTAGGAATTTATCCTGTCCAGTCATCTAGGTGACCAGGTTGAACCAAGCAGCCGGAATGAAAAACAGAGGAGTAGCTGGAATGTCCCAATCCAGGGACACACAGAGGGAGATTGCTTCACATGGTCCATTTCACCAATACTCCCCTTTTTTTCTTTTTCTGTACCTTGCAGCAGGAAGATGTTTTCATGTAATGTATTCTTCTGTGTCTAGCTCCAAATTTCATGACACTATGTCACATAGAATGTGTTGGTCATTGTTCTGTTTATTTGATTAGATTCTTTTCTTCCCTGTTGTTTTTTTTTCCCCTAATGTTTTTTAATCACAGAGCCATTCAAACATTAAAGAACCACAGGTGGATCACCTGACCAGTTTACTTTCGCAATCTAGATCTCTGGTTGTTTAGGTACATGTGTCTGACATTTCCGGTGAGCACAGTTACTAAGTAACCATTGACAGTTGATGTCATTAGTACAACAGTACCACTAGTAATATACCGCTATGTTTCATGTTGCATATAAAGGGATAGATAATGAGCTGGTGTAAATCACTATAGTTTCATTTGGGAGCTCCACTGGAGCTCTATTCTTTCCCATCAGTTTTTATTATATTTAAGAAGACCCAGAGTCAATAAGCGGACAAAGTATCCCCTTGTGACGGGGCCGTCTTGTGGCTGGTCTAACGGCTCTTCTGCCACACCTTTGATGCAACTCAGAGAAGTTGTTTATAGGTGGGAAGCTGCCCGTGTACTGCCCAATGCCTAGGACATAATAAACAGCTCTGTACCACCCCTACACCATGTCCCATGCCTCATAGATGGCATCACTATGTGGCTCTGGCCCCACAATGGACCTCGATCTATGCCTGCCTGATGTTCAGACCCCACCTGAATCCTTCTTCCTCAGGCTTGCAACTCCCCACCCTCATTCTGGGCTGCAAAGCTCCCTAAGCCCTTTTCCCATTTGGCAGTGGCCCCCTTCAGTACCTTTGGCCACATGTGCCCAGGCCTCACTTCTAGGCCAGTCAGAACTCCAGGCCCCTGGCTCTGGCTGTCCCTCATGCTGGGTGCTCTGGCACTTTAACCGTTCTGATCCTGGCCCCAGCACTGACCAGTCAAGGTTACTCCAGTTATGTTATTGAACCACTCACACTCACTCTCCCCTACCAGTCTGCCTTCTCGGGCCCCTCCAAACACAGTTCACTCATCACTAAGGCCAGCCTATGTGCAGTCCTTCAGGCCCACCCACGCAGACCCTACTTTATGCAGCACATGCGCAGTCCTTCAAGCCCACCCATGCATACCCTACTCTACTCCACACGGCCTACTCACTTCTCACACTCCCCCTCACTGGGGACCCTACACCGCCCCCCTAACTGGGGCTCTCAGGCCTTATGCCTCTTGGGTCTCAAGCCTGATGACATGCCTGGACCCCTCGCCTGTCCCTCTATGGGGTAACCCACCAGGTCATGGGGGCTGAGGCTATATGGCACTCCATACTCATCTTCATTAGGGAGGCACTGGTGTGGTATATCCTGGGGACCACCCCACTATAGACAGCCCCACCACATCATCCAACACTAGCAGGGTATAGTTTTAGGTCATTCCCCAGGACTCCTCCATCCTCATAGTTCTTACCCTGAACCACCAGGTGTTCTGGGAGCAGCAGTTCCAGCTGGGTAATTGTATTCTGGCAGCATCCCTGCAGCAGCTGCCAGCTCACCTCAAGGGACCTGTGTTTATACTGAGGCTGCCCAGCCCCATTCTCTAATCCAGGAGCCCTCTTGCATTCATGTTGCCATCTCATTAGGCCACACCATACCTGCCAGCTGCTGCACAGCCTGCTCAAGTCTCTTAAAGTGGCAGGCACCAAAGGTGCCCTGCCACACCCCCGTATCTGCATGAATTCAATGGGGCTTCCTTTACATGGGTGCAGGGATCTGTGCTCCCAAAGCACTGCAGTATAAGATCCCAAGTAATTTATTTAGCCTTTCTAGGTGGGTTTCTACACTCTGTTTTTTAGAAATTTCAGAAAAATACTTTCCTTCTTGCTTTGTAGGTCCTCTCTTCTAAAAAAATTAATCAAATTTGTCACATTAGGTTAAAATTTTATGACGACCCAGTGGCTAGTTTTGATCAGCTCATATTTCTTCAGAAAAGCTGGAATATGACCTCAAAATAACATCTCTAAGTTATTCCTCCCATAGAGATAACATTCAATGATTTCTAACTTTTTGTCTCTTCCCTAGGCTCCCTGGTGATGAATGGTTTATTTTTGCTTCCCTCAAATTGTTCTTCACTTGTCATAGTGATCAGATGCCTGTTACTGGTCTAATGGCATCTTCAGCCATTAGTGTTTTATGATATAATATAGCCAACCATGGAATGTAGTCTGACTATAATGATTTTAGTGTATATGGGTTTTTTCTTATATGATTGCTAATGGCCTTCATTTTTAATTTATAATACGCAAGAAACTATTTTCATTCTGGCAAGTTTCTTCCAGATTCTCCAGTGAACAGTAAAGAGAGGAAGTAGTGTACTTATTCAAATGGAGATGTGAATTAATTTTTGCCACCATCTCATAGCAGTTCAGTGGCTTCGCTCATCAATTTCTTTCCCTGTTTATATTCAAAAAGGGTTTCCACTGCATGTATTCATATCATTCATGAGCTCTCCTTTCTTCAGTTTTGGTTTTCTTAATCTGTTTTATAATTTCTCAGTCTTCCTTCATAATCTTCTGTATCCAGTTTACACAGTGTGTTTTCCAGGTCTTGTGAATTAAGGGGATTGCCGGTTATGTAAAACTCTGGTTATCTGAAATAACCCAGCAGGGTTTTCAGGCAATCCAGAGCCAGAAGAAGGGGAAGGGTGGTGACAGCTGCACGCAGAGGAGCAGCAACACAGAGTGATTGCCCGCTATGTGCAAGCTTTCCCCCACCCCCACATCTGGCTGGTGTCAGCACGCAGCGGTAGGTGGCAGCAGTTGCTGCCATCACCTGCAAGCTTTCCCCATCCCCCTCCACATCTGGCTGGCCAGCTGGAAACTCCAAATTAATAGAGTATTCCAGTTGGTGAAGTACTGGATAACAGAGATTTTACTGTATTTTTCCCCCCTAGCTTCCTTAATCTTATCTCTCACTTAATAGATCTGAGTGATAGTCCTACTTCCTCAGATCAGAGTATTCCTTATTTCAGAACTCTCGATTTCTCTACCTCAGGGCTGTCCAACTGGCAGCTCAGACTGCATGAGTTCAATTGGATCACTAAGGTTTCCATGTGGCTGCTACAGCTGTGTGAAATTTCAGCAGTTGTTTCATTTTTAAGCTGTTTCGACATGCTTCGAGCTCGAAACAGTGAAATCAAAAAGGAAACAAAAGGCTTCAAAAACAGCTTTGAAATGAAATGAGGGCACTCAAAACATTTTGAAAGTTTCTAAAAGTTTCAGATTTTGAAGCCAGGCTTGCTGCAGCTAAACAGAAACTAAGGAGAGGAAGAGGGAAGAGGGGAGAAGGACACTCTGATATCGACATCTAGCTCCCTGTTCGATTCCCCAGCTCTCTGATTATTTCCCCAGCTCTTCCCAGGGGGCGCAGGCCCCTAATCTGTGCATGGAAAGAGTCTGGCACACAGCCCTCCCAGGGGGTGTGGGCCCCCAGATCTGCACACAGGATGACAGCAGGCTGCTGCTGCTGACTAGGGTCAGCACAAGCACTGGGTTCTTCCTGGTGCTCGGTGCAGGCTGCACTGGGCATACTCGGATGCTGGCATTGACCCCAGCTGGCAGCGGCAGCCTGCTGTCATCCTGCGCACAGATCCAGGAGCCCGTGCCCCCTGGGAGGAGTCTGGCATAGCACTGCAGCCCTCCCAGGGAGTACAGCCCCCAGATCTGCATGCAGGATGACAGCAGGCTGCCACTGCTGGCTGGGGCCAGCAGCAGCACCAGTAGTCCCAGTGCTCAGCATGGGCTGCGCTGAGCACCAGTCCCAGGTGGCAGCAGCAGTCTGCTGTCATCCTGTGCACAGATCTCGGGGCCCACACCCCCCCAGGAGGAATCTGGCACAGCCTCATAGCCCTTCTGGGGGGCATGGGCCCCCAGATCTGCACACAGGATGACAGCAGGCTGCTGCTGCCGGCAAATGATACAAGTTTTGCTTTTAAAATTTGAGATGAAGTTTCCCAGAAACCCCTGCACCCATCTCCTTGAAACATGGCAGGCTTAATGCCCTCAGAAGGGGCTAGCATCCCTCCATTTTTCATCTGAATCAGGCAAGAAATGACAAAGTTATAGGTATTTTCGAATTCCCCATTATAGCCTATGGGTGAAACATCAAAACTCATCGAAACAGTTTCGACGAAACAAAATGGGACAGTGTTTTGAAACACTGTCCCTTCAAAATGGTGAAACGGAAGTTGAAATGAAAGGGTGCTGTTTCGCACAGCCCTAGTGGCCACCACTCCCCGCATTGGTCCAGCTGCAGAAGCAGCCAGAGTCTCCAGGTGCTTTCTCTTTCCAGCTTCTCCATCACTGGCCCAGAGTATGGGGTTGGTCAGTGCAGCACAGCACAGCACAGCAGGTGCTGGGAAAACCTGCAGCCTGGGGCACCTGAGAGGCATAATTCAGAAGGTGAGATTGCAGCCAGGGAGCTCAGAGTGAAGCAGTGCACCTGGGCATAGGAGGAGACGGGGTGGAGAGCCGCTCCTAGGCATGCAGTGCAGCCAGGTGGTACACAATACAATGGTGGGGGAGGAGGGTGCCCAGGCATGCAGTGCAGAAAGACGACATGTAATATGAGGACCCAGAAGCCCATGGCTCTCAATGGCATGGCCCCTGCTAGTGTAGCCTTCATCTGCTTAGAAGTTGGGCAGCCCTGTTCTACCTTATTCATACTAGATGTCATGATTTCCATCCACAAAGATCACAGGCTTTCGGTATGCTCATTTTAGATTAAGAGATAGCAAAGTCAAAAGAACAAAAGTCAAGTCTCCATTACAGAGCTCAACATGTGCGTCTCCTCGGTAACAGGCTGCATTTGCACGGATGCAAAGATTCTAACTGCAGTAAGAGGAAATCAACCAGCATACAGTAAAACAGCAGCTTGCACCACATCAGAGTAATCAAATTAAGGTCCAGATATGAATGTTGCTAAAATAAATAGAGATGTGCTCAGGCCTTTGTCTAGCAAGTACCCTTCAATGTCATCACAGTTGAGTCTTCCTGACAGCCATGTGAAGATTACTTTAATGTTTTGCCCCTAACACTGATGAGGGTAGAGGCAGTATATAGATGCTATTGTCATTTATGGAGAACTCATGCCCAGAGGAGGGAAGATTTTCCCTCCTCACCAATATCTTTTTGGAAATCTTGCTCACAGTTTCAAAGGAATCAGATTTAGATCACTTCCCTCTCCCCTAGCCCCCTGCCCCTGCAAAAAATCATGCTTATTTCAATTTGGCCACAGTTAAAATTGAGAAATTCTTAGATCCAAGTTCAGATCAATGTAACTGGATTTACACTAGCTCTAAATTTAGGTAAAGAGCTCATTTATGCAGAATTATTTAGCAAAGAAAGAAAAATGCATAAATAGAAAAATGTGATATATTGCTTAGTAGAAAGACGCCTTCTTTAACTAGAAGCATTTGTACACATGCTTGCACCACGTGCAATTCTATAAGTATCAAAATGAGCATCAGCGCTGAGAAAACGGCAACAGCACGCTTTTGAAGTAAAACTTATCAGAGATGTTTTAGTTCAAAAGCATACCACTGCCATTTTCTGCATGCTGACGCGCATTTCACTGTTTACACAGCTGCACACAATGCAGCACAGTGCGCATCAACTCACATGCAGAGCAGACTCAATTAATCAAGTTTGCTCCAACGTGCCTGGCATGAAAGTGTATATGTATATATGCCCTAAGTGTTTGTAAATGCCTCAGTCACTGCTGTAACTGCCCCTCATGTAGACATACTCTGAATAAAGCTACTTTGGGTTAGTTCCAGAAGAGCTAGCTTGCAGCTAAGGCAACATAGAGTTCAGGCAGGGCTAAAAAGTGCCCCACCTTCATATTGGCTAAATGTTTGGAGTTCAACCATGTTGGGCTCCATGCAACTGCAGTACCTGAGCTAGCTACAGTAACTGCAATGTACATATACTGATTCATTCAGACATAGAATATAATTAATTGAAATAACATAAGGAGGGGGGGGATAATATCAACAATAGATTAGCACATATTTTTAATCTACAGTGCTTTCTTTTCAAGAGAAGACTGAGTGCAAATTCTGTTTATCATTCATAAGACCTGAACAAAGATTCTAGCTCTCCAGTAAACATAGAGTATACACAAAAGTGTTGCATGCACATTTTACATTACAGTGCTCTTAAACATGACAGAAGTGCAGTGTTTAGCAGGGCACACCTCTGAACCTCCCTGCATTTTCCAGGCTAGGAGGCAAGGGTCGCTCCACAGCCTCCTGGAGCTGCAGGAGACTGCAGACAGCAGCAGAGAGGTGGAGCTGGGATGAGCAGCTGTCACTTAGCATGTCATCTTACTCCTGCATTCTGTCCTGCCCCCCTCCCACCAGCACTGGGAGCCAGTACTGCTTCTGTCTTGGGCCAGGCAACAGCTCTTACCCAGGTTGACAGCCCGGCCCTGTCCCCAGCCACACAGGGTTTCAAGGGGGGGGGG